CATGTCGAGAGTCCCATATGCTAGTGCAGTAGGTAGCTTGATGTACGCTATGGTATGCACTAGACCTGATCTTGCACATGCTGTTAGTGTTGTCAGCAGGTTTATGATACAACCTGGGAAAGAGCATTGGCACGCTGTGAAGAGGATATTCCGGTACCTTAAGGGTACACCTGATGTGGGGATTAGCTTCGGAAGTGATACAGAGTGCTTGGTGTCTGGGTATTCAGACTCGGACTATGCTGGAGATGTTGACACGAGGAGATCGATGACCGGTTATGTATTCACTCTTGGGAGTTCTGTAGTGAGCTGGAAGGCAACTTTGCAGTCGGCGGTGACATTGTCTACTACTGAGGCAGAGTATAGGGCGTTGACAGAAGCTGCTAAGGAGGGAATATGGTTGAAGGGACTGGTTGGTGATCTGGGTCTACATCATGATCAGGCAGTGGTGTATTGCAACAGTTTGAGTGCAATATGCTTGGCCAAGGATCAAGTCCACCATGAGAGGACTAAGCACATTGACGTGAAGTATCATTTCTTGAGGACAGAGAAGAGGATTAAGGTGAAGAAGGTTGGCACTGCGGATAATCCTGCTGATATGTTCACGAAGCCAGTTCCACATGGCAAGTTCCAACACTGCTTGGACTTGCTGAATGTCTTGAGTGGGTGACTCCGCCCTGCGGGGCATTGATGGTGGGAGAGAGAGAGAAGGAGCAGAGTACTTCAGAGATTTCAGAGGAAGAGAATTCAAGTCAAGTTGGAGATTTGTTGATATGACTTGAATCGGACTATCAGCCGTTTCCTTTGCCAGATTGGATTAGGTTTAGACCCACATGGAGAAGTACTATAAATACTTCTCATACTCCTCTGTAATCTGTAATCTCCTCGATATAGTGAAACTGGCTCTCTCTCGCCCGTGGACGTAGCTAACACACATCGTGTTAGTGAACCACGTAAATCGTGTGTCTGTGTTTTTCGATTCTCGCTTTCGTATTCTTGCTTTATCGATTCCGGCTATTTCCCGATCCGTAGCAGCGCGTTTATAACACTTCACTTTTGATACAATGGTGTGCTCAAGATCGACATAAAATTTATGTTGACACGAATAGGCGTGAAGTTAATTTCAAAGTGGGTGAGAAAGTATTTCTCAAAGTTTCACCCTAGAAAGGCGTAATGAGATTTGGTAAGAAAGGGAAACTTGCACCTCGGTATATTGGACCTTATGAAATCATAGAGAAGATTGGACCAGTGGCATATAAACTGGCATTGCCTCCAGAACTATCTCAAATCCACGACGTATTTCATGTTAGTATGCTGAAGAGGTACAAAGTGGATCCTTCCCATATTATACAACTAGAAGATATCGATTTGGGTCCAGATTTGACATTTGAAGAGGTTCCAGTTGAGATTGTTGATTACCAAATTAAGAATCTTCGTAGGAAGGAAATCCCAATGTTGAAAGTGGTTTGGGAAATCAAGATAGTGAGAGTGCTACCTCGGAGACTGAAGCAAGTATGCGAGAGAAGTACCCTGAGTTAGTAGCAACCTACTTTGCAGGTTAACAATCTTACCTAATAAGTTATGTTTTGAACTTGTTGATGTGCTTTTGTTGTGATAACCCGATATAGGTTTTTGAAACCTTATATTGGGAACTTGAGGTGTTATATGTTTAGTTATGTAATTTAGATCTCCTAACCTAAGAGTTAGCTAATAACCTTATGTACGATCGATCATGTTAAGGATAAGTAAGCAGACTTAAGGTATGACTCAAGGATAGATTTCGGGGACGAAATCTTTTAAGGAGGGGAGAATTGTAACATCTCTTTCCGGCAAAACCCATATTTCGATCGCTAGAAAGTTCGCGATTTAAAATCGAGAGTTTTGATAGTATTTCGGCAAAAATTGGATTATCAATCGATCGGATAAGTATACGTATTATATATATATACCATTGAATTCCCCCGTCCACTATTCCCATCTTCATCATTTTCCTTTTCGACCGAGAGAAGAGCGAGCAGAGGAAGCTCAGGGGAAGCGAGGGGGGAAAATCTCAAGAGCTCAATTCTTGAGCATAAGTGATCCAAAAATCCCGTAAGTAATGCCTAATTCATCTATACATCGTGATTTCTCGATTTAGAGCTTTAAAAACGAGTTTTTGGTTCAGGAATTTCTTGAATTCCTGATAAGCCAAATTAGGGTTTCGGAGTATCCAGAAGCCGGATTGAGCCTAAATTTCATATACGAGCTTCCTGCAGCGAGGTAATCAATCCTCTATTTCTAATCCCTGAATTTCGGCTATTATTTACGTAGGAGCCGGGATCGCTGAATTTAGCTCCGACCATGGTTTGATGTGTTTTTAACGAGAATTTGATCCGGAGCCTAGAACTAACATTGACGGGGACACTGAAGGGGATATTAGGACAATCTCGTATTTTGATTCCGGGTTTGTTTGAGAAAAGTGAAGTTGTGGTATGGGAGGCTAAAACCGGTGTTTAAACGACCAGAACTGGTGAGGGATTAGCACATCATACCTTAACTGCAATTTATCTCTCTTGTCTAACTCTGCCTTCAGATTCAACCGGTAGATCGATCGGAAATCAAAATGGCTCCCTTTGATTTCAAGTGTTAACTTATCGTAGCGAAGATTGATCAAGCTAGAAACGAAATCACACAAGTATTTACGTGGTTTCCTTGATCGGTATGATCAATGCTAGTCCACGGCCGAAGCTATCAACTCTCGTATTAACTTAGCTTCAATGTAGGTTCGAGGTACAATATATATGTTAATCCTAACCCTAGCTGAGATAGGAGAGAATCGGCCAGAGTAGGGTTGCTATCAACTAGGCCTATGACTACTAGTGTACATGGTACAGTGGGCTAAAGCCCATATGTAAAACTCATTACTCAACAGCCTCCCCCAAATTGATGGAGATCTCGAATCATCAATTTTCCCGCGAGATAAGAATGTCGACTAGCAGTGAAGGCCTTTGTCAGTAGGTCTGCATTCTGATCCTCTGACTTAACATAGAAGATGCGAATGATACCATCTCGAACCAAGTCACGAATGTAATGCACATGAACCTCAATGTGCTTCGTACGATCATGCATAACTGGATTCGTAGCAATCCGAATAGCACTGGTGTTATCAACATATAACTCCATTAGAATTGCACACGTGACACCAAAATCGGTAAGCAGTCGCTTAAGCCATTCCAGTTCTGATACCACATCTGACATAGCTCTGTACTTTGTTTCGGTGGATGAGTTGGAAACACGATCCTGCTTCTTGCATCTCCAAGAAATGAAAGAACCACCGAGGCGAACACACCAACCTATCGTAGAACGACGAGTATCAATACACCCAGCATAGTCACTATCAGAAAACGCCTGGAGCACAAGAGAGCCTGTCGCAGGCAGAAACAACCCAACATCTCGGGTACCCTGAAGGTAGCGGAGAAGTCTATGAACAACAGCTAAGTGATCCGTCCTTGGAGCGGAAATAAACTGAGCAACAATCTGGACTGCATAGGCAATATCGGGACGCGTCGAAGTAAGGTATATAAGACTCCCAACAATACTACGATATTGCTTACCACCATCAGGTAATAAATCCCCTGTCTCCCTCCCTAACTTCACATTAAGCTCCATAGGCGTAGAAACGGGGACACAGTCTGAGAACCGAGTCGAATCAAGAAGATCCACGATATATTTCTTCTGTCCCAGAAGAATACCAGCAGAGGAACGTTGGACCTCAAGTCCGAGGAAGTAAGAGAGAGACCCAGCTTCATATCATCACCAGTAACGATCATATCATCAACGTAGAGGAGAAGAAGGACAATACCTCGCTCAGAGCACCGAGTAAACAGAGAGGGATCATTCTGGCTTTGTCGAAACCCAAGACTCAACACAGTAGAGTGGAACTTATCAAACCAGGCACGTGGAGCCTGCTTAAGACCATAAAGTGAGCGCTGAAGGAGGCAAACATGATCAGGAAAGAGCAAGAGAACACATAACTTTAAATGTAGCCAGTCACAACAGATCAACTCGAGTTTTAAAGTCAAATTCAAATGTTGAAAAAATTGCCCTTCCGCTTTAATGACTATTAGATCATTACTCTCTCAATCTTAATCTTCCATGGGCACCAAAGGTAATATAGTATAACGGTAAGCTGTTGCGATCGTGAAGGGTTGGGAGTTGCAGATCCCAGGTTCGAATTCAAGCGAGGTCTGTTAGTGTTCCCGAAGGTATAAGACTATTGACGTCGAATTGAATGCAGGTGGCCACCAAATTTAGTAGGATCCTCTTATACAAAGTGACAAAATGAGGCTGATATTACTTGGTAATAAAAAAAAATCTTCCATGGGCTTTTTCGTATAGTAACCCCAGCCATAGAATAGAGATATGTAAAGTCAATGTTGAAAAGTCGGCGCTGCCAACTAGCCCAAAATAAATCTATAAGAGACTAATAATTGTGGGTATACTCGTATAAAAACACAGCACCTACCAGCGGTTTCTTCTTAATTTGTGATTTTTTTATCTTCAATTGATATATTTTTGAAATTTCCTGATATGCCTTCATAAATTTATGAATGGTCAACCATGAAGAAAAAATAGCATGAGTAAAAACATATTGATAATGGTCGATCTAGCTTATGCACTCATTTTTGTAGGAATATTATATAGCAATTGTAAACATTAATCTCTTTATCATTTGTTGTTCCTACATTTTTCTATTGAATGCACTTGCACCATAAAAGTCATCGCCTACTACTCTACTATCACTTTTCTATCTTCTTTCTGCGAAAGTTCATTCAAAAGTCAATAAGTCTTCTTTTTTTGTTTTCTTTGCGGGAAACAACAATTCTTATTAAGTATGTTTGTCAATATAAGACTTCCAAAACTCAAAGCCTAAAATACCAAGCAAAGCTAGCCCTTACTGCAATTTATCTCCCTTGTCTAACTCTGCCTCCAGAGTTAGCCGATAGATCCATCGGGAAATCGAAATGGCTCCCTTTGATTTCAAGTCCAACAAACACTTTGTTGCTTCATCTGATGGGGTTACCCTCCAAGTCTACGAGTTGACAAAGTCAACTCTCACTCACCCATCTTCCATCCGAAAGACACATTGGAGGAAGTAGCCAGCATCAGCACAAATCTCGATGGTGACGACGGCGGCGGCGATAACACGGCGGATGAAACCAGGACATATAATGGGTTGGTGTTCTTCGATGGCCATGGGAAAATTCAAGGGTGGGAAGCATTGACCAAGCTGGCCCAACACCTGAAGCGGTTAACCTTGATGGTGAACCCCGGAGGTCACTGCTTCCAAGATGTGAACGAGCTTGGAGAGTACGTCGACTTCGGAGTTCACTATCTCCGACTGAACGATTTGTTCAGCTGGCCCCATCATGGAGTCGACCTCGCCAGAACTGACATGTGGGGCAGTTCGGAGTTGAAGTACCACGATCCCAGACATGGTCAGCGATCAAGTCATATGGAAGGAGGTAGCGGAATCAGTATGGAGAAGTACAAGGTGTTGAAAAGGCTGCTGACGGAGAAGGATGAGAAACTGGTGAATCTAAAAGAGGAGATGGATGACGAGTTGCAAAATCTCAGAGAGAAGAAGGAAGATGAGTTGCAGGAGTTGAAAGAAGAAATAGGCAAGCTCAACGAAGCAAAAGAAGAAGAATTGAAAAAAGCTAAGAAAAGAGAAGGAAGAGGAGTTGCGGAAATTATCAAAGAAGAAGGATGTTGAACTCCAAATGTTGAGGAAAGGAAAGGACGGTGGAGCTGCTCTGCAAAAGGTTCGAAAGGAGAAGGACGACGAGTTGCGAAAACTAAAGAATGAGATGGAGGAGGAGATGGAAAAACTGAGGAAAGAGAAGGAAGATGAGCTCGAAAAGTTAGAAAAGGATAAAGAGGAAGAAATGTTGACCAGGCTGATGGAGAAGGACGATGAATTGCAAAAGTTAAAGGAGAAGGAAGAGGAGTTGCGGAAGATGGTAAAGAGAAAGGATGAAGAGCTGCAAAAACTCAAAGATGGAGAAGAAACGTTTATTTGTTTTACAAGCAAGGTAATACCTCACGACATCAAGATTTTCCACTTGCCTACGCTGACGGAGCCACGGCTGAGCAATCTCTATAGTCACTATCATTCGGTTGACGAAGGAATCGCTGAAGAGTGGCTTGCTCCACCTGAAAAAGGGGTACATACGGATACTTCCGGCCAAGGGCAGTTCGACGTGAACAACTGGTGGTTTGCGAAGACGTCTCATCCTGAAGGCGGGACGACGATGATGGCTTATTACTATGGGGATCGGTATTGCATACATAATCGTCGGTGGGGAACCATTCGGATTCCGTATCCCAGTAGTGTTGATATTGCTGCGAACCGGAATTTTTGCTTGGCTAATTTCTGTGGCAAGATCGTGTTTTGCTTCACGTATAGGAATTAGGAAGTGGATGATGCGATGTATTTGAGCGTTTTGATTATTTCTTTTTGGGCTACCAAAGTTTGATTTCGTCAATTTCTGGAAATTCTGTTTCGTATTGTTTCATCAGCACTTCTACTATAATTTAAAGTATTGGTACTTTAAAGTACAACTTTAAGTTGGACCATAATGTTAAAGATACAAATTATACTTGTATCATAAGAGAATTTGACATTTATGTTATTGTACAACTCCAAGTTGTACCATGACATAAATGTCCGTCTTTAGTTTGTACCATAAAGGAATTTTACAAAAGCGTATAGGTACAACCTGAAGTTGTACCATAACGTTAAAAGTATAACTTCAAATTGTATCATAAAAGCAAAAACTAAAGCACCAATACTTTAAAGCATTGTAAAATTCCTCTTGTTTCAGAGCTGTATAATCCTTCATTTGTCTTGGGAGGATAGTGTTTTCCACGTTGCTTTCATTGTTTCTACAATAAAAATATATTCCCTTTTTGTTCTGTTGTGTCCTCCTTTGGTGTATATATATATACTAGCACAAGGCCCGCCTTGTTGGCCGACGAATTTTGATGATTATATAATTTTCATGTGCTATTCATATAGATGATGTGTGTTTTATTTGGTATTTGTTCATTACTATCGAGAAAAATACTCAAATAACTTCGACTTTGCTTAGAACGTATTGAAAAAATAAAAAAGTCATAATGACTAACAAAGAAATGCAACATATAATTTTACAAAGTAAGTGTTGCCCAAGTCCATAAATGACAACATAAGAGTTGTTTCATATGATACATACTAAATCAATCTTCACCATAGAAGAAAATTATTGTCCTTGGATGGAGTTCAATGTAACCATACGTATTTCTCTGCGTAACCAATCAAGAATCGAACATTCCTCACTTTTAGACCCATAAAAAAAAATAAAGCTCATTATCCTTCCTATACAATATATGTTCTTGGGTCGGAATCAAACATTCCTCTCTTTTAGACCCAATTTTACATTCGCCGGTAAAAATTTGTGTTAACTGGGAGTCAAGTACTAAAGTTCAATGTAGTCATATATCAAATATATTATGTACCCGTACTTATTATTTTGCATAACCACTCAAGAATCAAACATTTCTCTTTTTTAGACCCATCAAAAAAATATAGCTCATTATCATTCCTATACTATGCTCTTGTAGATTGTAGAGAGCATATGGACACCTAAATTAGATAACTCTCCTACATTATGTTGGATGAAAAGTTGAAAGGAAAGGACAGACCCAATTCATTAACCTCGTATCGTTAACATATATTTTTGTTAGGTGGCTACTTATACTGACTGCAATATAATTTTATTAGTTGCATGTATTTATGTTACGGTTAACTATGTTTTGATTGTGATGATATATTCATTATATAACTTATGGATTGATGCATCAACATAAAAAAATTTCTTGGATAATAATAATGTTAAGTATCAGTAATAGTCAATTGGACAATATATTATGTACAGAAGACTTATAAAGTGACTCTCATTTCACAAATATGACTAACAAATATTTGAAATACTAAAATTTTAGAATGACTTAACTCAACAGGTAGTTAAACCCAAGAGAGAGGCCTTTGCAGCATTTGGAAGAGGAAGGGAAATGATACTTTTGATCTGGTTTTCCTGGATTGAGGAAGTATTTGACTATTTTGTTTACCATATCTAATATTATATTCAAATGCGGCCCAGTACTCTCCTATATTATGGATCCGCAACTGAGAAGCAGGGAATGATAGGGTTGAAAATGGGGCAGGTGATGGTAGTGTCGGCTAGTAATCGGTATCCAGTTAACACGAAGGTTACCACTATCGGTTACCGGTGAACTGGAACATGCAATAGGCCCTCTGATTGCCATACAAAACTGCTGTAACTAGTTAACGACATACCAATAACCGATGATAACTGGTACGGTTACCAATTAACGGCATACCAATAATCGATAATAATCGGTACAGTTATCGGTTATACCGTTTACCACCCCGTCACTCTCAATCCTAACAATCCATAAGGGATGGAGTTTGTTTGTATAGAAACCCCAACAATAGAATAGAGATATGTAAAGTCAATGTCGAAAAGTCGTGGTTGCCGAATAGCCCAAAACAAATCTATAAAATTTATATATAAAAGAACTATAATAATTGTGGGAACAACAAATAAATAATTATTATTACACTCTCTTATTGGTTTATTGAATGATACCCATATAAAAACAAAGCAACTACCAGCGGTTTCTCCTTAATTTTGTAATTCTTTATCTGTCTGCAGCAGCAAGGGAGAGCGGATCCCATGACTAGGGGGTTCTTACTCACTTGACTAAGCCCCTCCTAGTCATTAGATCTGGACACTTTAATCCAATGGTTAAAAAGTGGGAATAGCTATTTAATTAATGACAGGGGTAGTTTGGGTATTATGAAAAATTGCGAAGTATACAAACCGGATTTACAATCAGTACAAACCATACAAATATACGAACAGTACAAACTAGAGCGACAAAACATACAAACATTACAAACGTATGAACTGTACAAACAATACAAACTAGACTGACAAACAATACAAACCATACAAAAAGAAAAAACAATCGAGTTGACTTTGGAGGCTCCATCCCTATATAGAGGGGCTCCTTACCAAAGTCAACCCGGGTGTTTTTAGACATACAAACAGTACGAACATGGTGGACAAAAATGACAAACTAGACCGACAATCCATACGAACGGGAAAAAACACCCGGGTTGACTTTGGAGGCTCCATCCCTATATAGAGGGGCTCCTTCCCAAAGTCAACCCGGGTGTTTTTTAGACATACAAACAGTACGAACATGGTGGACAAAAATGACAAACTAGACCGACAATCCATACGAACGGGAAAAAACACCCGGGTTGACTTTGGAGGCTCCATCCCTATATAGAGGGGCTCCTTCCCAAAGTCAACCCGAGTGTTTTTTAGACATACAAACAGTACGAACATGGTGGACAAAAATGACAAACTAGACCGACAATCCATACGAACGGGAAAAAACACCCGGGTTGACTTTGGAGGCTCCATCCCTATATAGAGAAGTTCCATCCAAAAGTCAACCAGGTTGTTTTTTAGACATAAAAAACATTACAAACATGGTTGACAAAGATCATAAACATGGTGCACAAAAATAACAAAGTTTACAAACATTACAAAATAACAAAGCGTACAAACATTACAAAATATGTCAACAAACATCACAAAATTGGCACTGTCGTCGGAAAATTCTTCTCCGTCGACGATGGTCGCCGGAAAAAAATTTCCGACCAGAATCGAATCTCTCTCTCGCAAAGGCAATTGCCTTATGTGGGTAAAAAAATTCCATTCTCTCTCTCTCTCTCTCTCTCCCTCTCTCTCTCTCTCGGTAATGGCCGCATGAGAATAACTCTCCTGCCCAGGAATCCCCCTGGCCGGAAAAAATTGGACGGCGCAAAAAATTGGACGGAGACGCGCAAGGGACGGGGGCGGACCCTGGCCGGAGACGGCGCAAGGGAGGAGGCGGACTCAATTTCATTATACATTTTATAATTTAAATTAAAAAATAAACATGCAATTACTATACTGCCCTTCATTAAATTGGATTAATATGAGCCATTGGATTTTAATGAGGTGCAAGGGTGGAGATTGACTTAGTCATGTGACTAAGGAACCCCCTTAGTCACCTGATCTTAGCCCGTAGCAAGGTGCTCAACCATTTAAATCACATATATTCATTTTATATGAAAACTATTTAATATCTACTTCAATAATATATTTTTCAAATTTCTCAATATACCTTCATAAATTTACGTATAGTCGACCATTGGACCATTAGATAAGAAAGAAGTATGAATAAAAATATATTGATAATAGTTGATCTAGCTTATGCAGTCATTTTTTTTTATCCTACATTTTCCAATGGATGCACTTGCACCGTAAAAGCCATGATCTACTATCACTTTTCTATCTTCTTTATGCGAAAGTACTTTCAAAAGTCAATAAGTCGTCGTTTTTTTTTTTTTTTGTGGGAAACAATAATTATTATTAAGTCTGTTTGTCAATATAAGACTTCCACAACTCAAAGCCTAAAACACCAAGCTAAGCTAGCCCTTAACTGCAATTTATCTCTCTTGTCTAACTCTGCCTTCAGAGTCAGCCGGTAGATCGATCGGAAATCGAAATGGCTCCCTTTGATTTCAAGTGTTAACTTATCGTAGCGAAGATTGATCAAGCTAGAACGTAATCACACAAGTATTTACGTGGTTTCCTTGATCGGTATGATCAAGACTAGTCCACGGCCGAAGCTATCAACCCTCGTATTAACTTAGCTTCAATGTAGGTTCGAGGTACAATATATATGTTAATCCTAAGCGTAGCTGAGATAGGAGAAAATCGGCCAGAGTAGGGTTGCTATCAACTAGGCCTACGACTACTAGTGTACATGGTACAGTGGGCTAAAGCCCATATGTAAAACTCATAACTCAACAGCCTCCGCCAAATTGATGGAGGTCTCGCATCATCAATTTGCCCGCGAGATAAGAATGTCTACTAGCAGTGAAGGCCTTTGTCAGTAGGTCTGCAATCTGATCCTCTGACTTAACATAGAAGATGCGAATGATACCATCTCGAACCAAGTCACGAATGTAATGCACATGAACCTCAATATGCTTCGTACGATCATGCATAACTGGATTCGTAGCAATCCGAATAGTACTGGTGTTATCAACATATAACTCCATCGGAATTGCACACGTGACACCAAAATCTGTAAGCAGTCGCTTAAGCCATTCTTGTTCAGATACCACATCTGACATAGCTCTGTACTCTGCATAGGTGGATGACTTGGAAACACGATCCTGCTTCTTGCATCTCCAAGAAATGAAAGAACCACCAAGGCAAAACACACCAAGCTGTCATAGAACGACGAGTATCAATGCACCCAGCATAGTCACTATCAGAAAACG